GAGCCTTTTGTATGAAAAGTCCCGAGTCATTTCTAACAAATGGCCCACAAGCACGCTGCCTCTGAATGGAGCCCAGTGGAGCTCATACAACCCAGGAACCTGTAACTGATCTTGGCTGGGGGGACCTTAGCGAAATTGCTTTTTGCTTTGGGGAATGTGAACTAAATCGGAGTTGTAAGATCACTTGAGTGCTCTTGATGCAGCTTTGAGAAGAAAAAGTCAGACTTGAGACAAATCCCTTCCAGGTCTGAGGGAGTGCAGTGGCGGGCAGGGCACAGGGACTGTGGGTGTCACTTGGCAAGGAATGGGGAATGAGGGAATGGCAGAGAAAAGGCTGGACCTAACAGCAGCACTGCAGATGTCCTTTGGCGGCTCCAGGCCACAGGGTAGGCCACTGTTGGGCATTGTCCAACATCCAATGGGCCAGGCCCATGGGGCAACAGGCTGCCGGCTGAAGGAGGCCATCTCCTTGCCTGAACTCTCCACGCCTTTTTGTTGTTGTTAAGGTTTGTTTTTATTTCTTTATTAATCACAACAACAATAATAATACTGGATGAATGGAAAGGAACACAGGAAATTTTCACCCAGGCTGAGTGTGTTTAACTCGGCTTCTATGTACTGTTGGACTGGGATTGGATGAGCCCGGGGACCAACCCATGGCAGCTCTTCTAGGTCCCACAGATGGGAGTCCAAGGGGATTTTTCTAACTGCCTAGAAACACCCTTCTTCCCCAAATCTGACTGACTTCTGTGAAGCCCTAGGCCGGAAGTGTGCCTTTCTTAAGGGCCCAGCCAGCCTGGAGCCTCTTCTCCTCTCCTGCGTAGACAGCTGCCCTTGTATGACCCCTACCCCTCAGTCCCTGCTGACCTTCAGTGAGCGAGCAGGGGTACCATAATTTGACCAAGGAGTTGGGGACCCGTAATTGTATAGCCCAACTGTGAAGCCCTGAGCTGGGTGCTTTTTTGAGCCTCTTCTAAGTGCTTCCTCTCCCCAGCTGACAACGGAGGAAGCTGACCAGTTAAAGAAGTGACCGTAAGGACCACCTTTTCCTTCATGCTTCACCACGACACTGCCACTTTGGGTGTGGTTGACCCTATTTCATAGATGGGGAAACTGACGCTGTGGTAGTTACAGAATCTGGTGTCAATCTGAGGATTCAGATCAAAGGGGTGGGGTCTAGCCTGTCAATCAGGTCACAGCTTGATGACCTCATTTGGAGGCACAAAGGAGATAAATAGCTCGCTGGAGACAGGACACATGCTCACTCCCTGGGAGACATCCCTGTGGAGAAGACACGTGGAGAGAGGCTGATGGAGCCAGAGCACTGGAGCCGGAGAAGCCACGTGGAGAACCCTGTCATTGCTGAGATGCATATAATGCCACTGGATCCACAAGACTTCCCACCCACTGGGCTGTGATCTTCCTGCATTTGGCATCATTGCATGTGTTTTGTGAGTATGAAGAGGACTTTATAGATTGGTATCAGATATATGGGTTAATATCAGACTTGTGGACTTGATCTGGATGGACTGGGCTGGGATGTTTTCTCAATATTCAACTGCTCTTGTATACAAAGCTCTTTCTTAGATACACGTGGGTCTCCCTGGATTTGTTTCTCTAGTCCATCCAGACTGACACAAAGGTTCAGAGAGAATGAGTGGCATGTTGCCCAGCTAGTAGAGCCTGCCCATGCCCTTAACCACCCCAATGAGAAGTCTCCGCTGCGAGGGATGCCAGAGGTCCTGTCTTTCTCCCTGAGAGCTGGGGACATGTCATTCTTCCTAGAGCCCCCCTACCCTGCTCCTACAAGTCCCCAACAGGTGGAACCAAGAGAACCCTATTACGGGCCTGGTGGCTGCATGGGCCCCTTGAGTTTACATGTTGTGTCCAAAAGGCTGTCCCTCCTCAACTTGGAAATCAGAGCCTGCACAGCCTGCTTCCCTAGGCCTAGCCTAAACCATGGTTTTATCCAGCTTTGGCCACCAGCCTGATTGAGGGGGGTGGGGCGGGGCCTCCCAGGTCTCAGCCTCCAGTCCATTTTTTCCCCTAAGCAAACAGTTTCCCTTCGGTTGCTGAAAAAATATTGTGCCATCTTGAAGGTGAAATATGATCTGGAGCCACAAATGAGACTTGAGGCGGGTGGGAGAGAAGGGAAAGGAGTGGCTGGCACAGAGCCTAAACTCTGGCTCCATCCAGTTTCTGGTTTGGGGGAAGGAGACGACTCAGACCAGGATGAGGATGTCATCTGCCTGCAGGCGGCAGCTTCCTGGGCCTTAAAGATTTTTTTTTTTAAACTGACATACCATGAAATTCACCCCTGGGACCCCAAAAAAGCTCCCTTCCCAATGGGTTCTCCCCCTCCTCCAGCCCCTGACCCACCCACAGTGCAGCCTCCCAGAGGCAGAAGAAAGCGAACAGACGCAGAGGCACGCTTCCCCAGAAGACCGTTTCTTCGGTGTGGGGATCAATAAACCCGTTTGCTTAAAAGGAACCAGATGATTTCATCCT